ATCAAACCAAAAAAATAAAGAAAGAATAAATCTTACGATTGTCTTGACAGAATCATCATCCAGTGGCCTACTATCCTTGCGTTTTTTATGAGTTAATAGGAAAATTTCTGCTCGTGTAGGCTCTATCCCGTTTACAGCCTAATACAATAAAAATGATATCATATATGTTGTATGCATGAAAAAAAAAGTTTAAAATATTATAGTTTGTAGTATTCACAGGTTTACATGCTCATTCATCAAGGTGGCAATACTTTTTTATCCTCCTGTGTGAGGCATCGTTTGCTTGGCCATATTGTTTCTATTTGCTAGGTATGTCTTTGTCATTGAAATATTAAAATGATATCTTATAAACTTTAAACAAAAATTGAGCATACCTAAAATCAAAACGCTATAAAAATGAGCAGACTAGGAAAATTTTCAAGGTTGATACCTTAGCTTTATCAGAAAGCCAATACGAGACAAGACCACTCCATTGATCCCTCGGTATATGACTTGGTCTATTTTTTAGTAAAGGTCGTTAGTCTTATATTTTTGCGCATACTCACCCTTCAAACTGCCCTTGTAATCTTTCTATTTTTTCCCTAGTGACTTTAAGACCCACGCCTCTCCACGTTTTGGGATAGAGAACTTCTTCTGAAAAAATAAAAGCCAAAATCTATAAGATAACATCATGTATAAAAGATAGAGCATGTTCACAAAAATATAAAAATAAATAAATAATAATAATAACAACAACAACTATTCCATACCCTCGCAAAATCCACCAATTTCTTCTTTTCTTCGTTGTCAAAATTTCTCCAATCATCTACATGTAGAAGTGTTAGTTCTGAAGTTCTAGCAATAATTCCTAGAAAGCTAGCAAGCTTTCGACCTTCTTTCCCAATAGCTTGGTTACGATTATTAAAGGGCACATCAATTGTCTTCCCCGGCGGAAGTTTCCAAATATCTTTTAGTAAAGTAGGCCCACGAACCTTTTTTGCTTCTGAAATACCTAGAATGAAAAAAAGAACAGAACGTTAGGTAGTACAATAGCTATTTAGTGAGTTCTGAACAACATATCTCCAGCTGATGCAATACATAGTGAAGCTGCTGCAGATGGTAAAGGAGCTGGTCAAAATATTAAAGTTGTTCCTAAGGCTATCACTGATCTAGTGGAGAATAAAGTTGGTGCTATGCAGGTTTGTAGGCAACAACTGACTTTGAATTTGCAACCTGGGAATCATAAAGCGGTTGCTATAGTGAATCTGATGACTGTAGCTAATGCTTCTGTGGATCGTGCTATTAGAAAAGGCTTGGAATTAATAGAAGACAAAGGTGTAAAATCTCATGTTGTTGGTCAAGGATCAGATGTCATTAAGCCACTAAATACAACAGTTGTTTCTATGCATGCTACAGTTCTAGTCGACGTTGCCGATGTTTCACCTGCTCCTAATGGAAGTGATTGTGTGACTGCAAGCAGATTGCAGATGGAAAGGGTTTGGAATCAACAAAATTGAATGGATATAACTCACAGATTGTTGTTCAAGGATCAGATCTAAATAAGCTGCTGGCTACAGCAGGAACTAATGGAGGAGCTGCTATAGCCTCAAAGTTATAGGCTACTGTTACTTTGAATCCAGCTGGTGATCAAACTAGTGTTGGGGTTGTTAAACCTACTGCTGCAGTTAGACACCTTTGCATCTTGATGTAGCTACAATAAACAAGACACGACCTAGTTGTGCAAGGGTCAAGGTACAGGTGAACCTACTGGCTCATTTACCTAAGAAAATAGGAATGGATATTGAGAATGAAGAGACTAAGGAGGTAAGAACAGAGTGGGTTAAAGTTCAATATGACTATCTTCCTAAATATTGTATTCAATGCAAGCTACAAGGACTGAATGAGGAAGAGTGCAGAAAGTTACATCCTGAGTTAGTTCCAGTTGAACAGAATAAGGAGGAGGTGGCTGATCGAAATCAAGGGAAAAAAAAAAGCAAGGTGATCAACCTATAATGATTCTGAGTAGGGGAAAAGTGGTTGGTAATCCTTGACCTACATGGAACCAAGTCAAGGATAATAGACCTAAGGCAATTACTACTGGCAAAGAGAAGGAGAATGAAATATTTATAGAGAAGCCATCAATTTCTGATGCTTAGAGAGACTCTAGGGGTCTAATTTGCCAATTATGTTGGTCGTTATACAGTCTGAAACATTAACATAACTATTATTAGCAAAGTTCAAGAGTTTGACATCACTTGTAAAACTGATCATGATGTGTTCTATTAGCATCCTGCTATGGATGTGCATTTATTATGTCGATAACAGGTAGTGATTGAGAGAGCAATATTAAGTAAAGTCTCTTCAGCACATTTAGACCAATATTTCAGACTCAGCTTTCTCTTTTCAGTTTCAAATATTAGTTTCCCGTATCAGTTTCAGCTTAAGTTTTCAGTATTTTTTGAGTATTGAGGCTGCCCATGCATCGGGCATCATAATGCCCATTTCTAAAGGTAAGTATACTATAGGTGTCCTTGAGGCTACAACTGGTACAGCAGTGACAACAACAGCTAATGCAATTGTGCCAGAAATAAATTTGCAGTACTTGACAAGGATGTGGAAGACACAGCTCAGAATCAACTGGTGACAGTGGTGGAAGACTCAAGGGTAGTGCAAAAGGAGGCTGGGAATTCTCCTACTTCAGCAAGGAAACAAGTAACTAAGTCTTCGACCAAGAAGCTTAATAGAGTGCAACAAGAAAAGAAGCCAAGAAAAGTAATCAGAACAATGGGGTGAACAACCCTACACTTGATTGCATTCCAGAAACTGAAGGGAGTCCTAAGGGTGCTACAGCCTCAGCGGGTAAGAAAGGTACAAGAAAAAAGTTCAGTGAAAATGATAACAACAATGAAAATGATGCTGGAGGAACAAATAGTGCAGGGGAGATACAAAAAGAAAGGGATCTTAGTGCAGCAAAGAATGTCACTGTCTCTAACTCGTTTGAGACTTCGATGAATGAACAAGTTCTAGAGGATATTATGAAGAAAGGGATACAGATTGATCGTGATCAAAGTTATAAAACTAGGCAATCTCCAGGCAGTGTAAAAAGTAGCAACAGTCCAAGAATCCTAGTGCGCGATCAGTTGCTTGAAGGGAGATCATGTACCTATTCCCACAAAAATTGGATGTTCGACAAAATGCTATAAAGAGCAGCGTGGCAGAAGTGATAAAGGGAGATCATGAACCTATTTCCAGCACTCCCAGGTTTCATTTTTCTAGTCCACTTAGAGGGAATTAAAATTGCATAGATAAGAAGCTAACCAGTTCGTAAAGTGTCGAGATTTTAAGGAAACCGTAAGTCCAAGTAAACAACCCGTGAACAGAATTTCGGCAGCAAAAAATGAACCAAATAATTGCAGTAATTGCAATAACTAAATTTGAACAACATCAACAAGAAGGCAACTCGAATCTCAGCACTTCAAAATCAATAAAACCTCTAAAGGTCAAAGAAAGCACCAAGTAAATCAAATATCCCTATGCAATAAGCATTTATGATGTGCAACTATTACAAGGAAACAAGGATAAACAGTGTTGAAAGCCATAATCTAATATTATACATTACCAGACTGCAATACTATAGAAACATTACCTGAATCGTCATCATTTGGAATTTCAGTGCCACCATCAGAACTATTCAACTCATTAGATTGACCATCATGTGCTTGGGCGTTAGAGTAATTTTGACTATCCATCAACTGCTCAATATATGGCTGGGCTCTAGAGTAGTTTTGACCATCCATCAAGTGCTCAATATAAGGTCTCATATCTTCATCATAATCTTGTTCAATTACCAGTCGATTGTGACCTCTAGTTTGCATAGTTCCTTTTCGAAAATAAAGAAATTATCTAGATGCATTAAGTTATACTAGTACCAAATTAACTCCAACCAATCAGCGGTCACACGCAAAATAGGAGGAAACATCATCCTCGTCTCAAGCTGTAAAAAAAAATGAATAGNTCCTGCGACTTCCGTTCTGCGGACAAGTCTCGCTTCTGCGAATCCCCCTTAACTGCTCAACTTCCGCATCTGCGGTCCTCCTGTCGCATCTGTGACTCCGCAGATGCGGTCTGCTACTCCGCACCTGCGATACCTGCCGCTTCTGCGGCTCATTGCTCGGTTCTGCGGTACCGCTTCTGCGGTCCCCTTTCCGCAGAAGCGAAAATACCAGAAGCAGCAAAGGTTCTGCAACATTACAAGTCCAAAACTCCCCGTTAGCCATCCAAAAACACCACGAGGCCCCCGGGACCTCAACCAAAAACACAAACATGATCCAACACCTTATTCAAACTTGCTCGAATCGTCATAACACCACAAATAACACCTAAACCATCCAATTGCATCAAATTCAAGCCTAAGTTCATCCAAATCTTCCGAAACTTGCATTCGATAAAACCCAACCAAAACACCTCCGAATCAACTGAAATTTTGCACACACATCCCAAATCACCTAACGGAGCTACTGAAACTCCCGGAATCCCTTTCCGACCCTCGGATCAAATTCTCACCTATCAACCGGAATTTGCCAAAATACTAACTTTGCCAATTCAAGCCTAATTCTACACCGGACCTCCAAAATCAATTCCGATCACACTCCTAAGTCACAAATCATCCTCCGAAGCTAACCGAATCATCGGAATTCATATCCGAACCCTCTAACACATAAGTCAACGTCCGGTTGACTTTTCCAAAACAAAATTTCCTTAAAAGAGACTAAGTGTATCATTTCCTTCTAGAACCAATCCAAATCAATTCATTCACACCAAACACTAATAATGAAGCATAAAGGAATAGAAAATGGGGAAAATGGGGGGGGGGG